AATATATATATATATACAGGGCAGCCAGAAAACATGCCTGCACAGCTCGTAATGCAGCAGCATCATTTGGCAATGGTGATCCATCTTCAGAATATATATTCCTGTAAAATAAGACAATCAAATACCGGAAAGAAGAGTACTGAGAAATTCAAGGAGAATAGCCAACATCAGAAGACTCAGAACATGTATAAACAATATTTTTGAAGAAGATACATAACGTATATTCCTCCCACGCTTCAAACTCAAGGAAAAACTCCCTTGAGAAGGACAAGGAGGTCCAGGACCACACAAGGGTCTAGCTTGTTCTCCATCTACACACCCATGGGATTCCTTGTTACGCATGAACGGAATGAGAGAATATGACAGCTGATATATTCTTGAGCTACATTTAGAATTTTAAACTTAGCCATCTAAAAAGAAACAATGACTCTTCTGCTTTTACCTTCCTACCTATCAATATGAATTCTACTCTCCTCCATACTCCAACCCTAATGACAAAGGCGTACTATTTGAATCCAATAACCTTATGCTCAGGTTTACTAGTAAGAAGAGCAAATTGTTTTTCATCATTGTGGGTGTCAGGCCAACTTATGCCGATATGGACAACCATCTAAAACTTAGAACATTTCGCATAAGAAAGCTAGTAGAACTCTAAAAATTTAAAATTGCATTAAAAATATGATATTGTATTAAACTTCAAGGGTGACAAGAATGAAAAAGATGAAAAAAAAAAAAAAGCTTACCTCCATATTACGTTCTGCAGCTCATCCTGTCCAGCTTCTGGAAGCATGGCAGAATCATAAGCAACAATATTTCCATAAAAGATTTTTTCTAAATCTTTCATCCACCGAGTCAAAAGCAAATTTACCTGCCAGTAAAAGATAACGAACATACATCCTCATATGTAAAGCCTATTTCATGATAGCATGTAGTTATCTGGTATGCACAAGTCACTAACATGATCGCTCTGAAATGCAAACTTATGATCTTAACAATGTTCCATTCCTACAGATCTTAATGTTGTTTAACAAATAATTTCAACTCAACTTAAGGTATCAAGAAAAACAAACATCCCAGTTTTTATTGCACAGAAAGGAAAATCTTAAGATGAAACTAGACATGATCTTAAAAAGTGGTATCATCTTTTGATAGGAACAGGAAAACCAAACAAAACAAATAACACCGAAGAGATAAAAAACAATGGAACTCCCTAGTGGCATCCCTATGAGCTAAGCTCCTAGTCCTCGTTGAACTCCTCTTCATCGGTTCAATATCCCATCCATATATTATAACAAAATCCACGCACTAATAAATTTAATCCACATTCAAACTAACAGCGATGCTAACAAATTGATTCACTCATAAAAGTTAGTTACATATCAACTTGAGGACCAGGGTATCGCCTTGTCCTCTAGCCAAGGGAATAGTGAATTATAAAAAAGCACTAAAAAAGAATAACCCAAGTCGCTAGAGCCAACAGACATTAACAATTGTCAATCATTACTCACAATACTCAATATTTCTGTACCTAGTACTGACCAATGGTGGCCATAGCTCTCGTGAACCCATATGTTTCTACACCTAGTTCAACCTCTTGATCTGCTAATTTCCTTAGCTATCCCTTTTATCCACCTCCAATTCCCAATCACTTCTCCAAATTCTTCGCGAATTGATGCAAGTAATTTGTTTTCCCTCTTGAAAGGTGGAGGACTTAGAAGGCAAGCTAAGATTTTGTGAGTCAATTTTCAAAGCTTTGATCTGGGGCTTATGGAAGAAAAGAAATGTCAAACTTTCGTTAGAAAGAAATAATAGCAGTCATCAAACTTCTTACAACAGATTCTTGGTGTGTTCTTTCCAAATATTTTTGCAATTTTTCTTCTTTTAGAATTTATGTTTGCTAGAATTCTTTTCTTCGTAAATGTGTTTGAGGTGCTTGCTAAATAATAGCATTCATCAAACTTCTTTAGAATTATGCTTTCTAGAACTCATCTCTTCCACATTTCTAGGCAAGCAGCCGACAATTCCAAATTCTCTAGATGAAAAAGACCAAATTCCACAAATGGTAGGGCAACGTAGGAAAATATGGTCCAATTTTTCTGAGTCTTTGTAACAAAAACAGCACACCGAAGGCGATAATGTAATACCGTTTCGTGATAGCATGTTAAACGACAGTCTACACTACCACCCTACCAATTGAGCTAAGGTCCGCTTAGGAACCAGAAAACCAAACACTGCATCAATAAGTAAAGGTTTGGAAATACAAGCCAAAGAGCTCAGATACTTTAGGGACCTGGTGGTTCCCATATGAGCTCAGATCCTCTTACAAATCTCCTCTTCCCCTCTTCATTTTCCCCTCCCTTTATTTATAACATAACTCACAGAAACAAAAATTTATCGCACAGCCCAACAAACCTACAAGCGACCTCACACCAGAAGTAAAAAACCAACTTCTTGTGTGGCTACTAGTGATCTAACATGAAAATGTTAAGGCACTGTACTTGTGGTATGAGCAACGCGTTCTTCTTGCCTTCAATACATTAATACAATTTGTCTAAAAATTACTATCCTAATCTTTTAAGATAATGTTCATTTTAAATTTTGAGTATAGACATCTTTGGAAAGCCCGATTAATGAATTACAAAGTGTGCTGCTATATGCATAAACCTACATACATACACATAATATAACCAATAGAAACATTAGAATTTTCATGGATTAAAATGTCAAGGAAAATCATGGATTTAAATGTGAGTGTTGATCGTATACCCCAGCCTTAGATACACGTAGCTCCACATCATGATTGTAAATTTCATATAAGTATTGCCCACGTTCAACACCTTCCTTTCCTTCTTCTTTCAACCGTCGTAAGCAAAGCCACGTATGAAGAACAAGCAGAGAAAAGGTTGTTTTAAATGTTTTCTCCAAATTGAACACTGCACATTGAGGAAAACAAATTAATCCACTGTCTTTCAGTTACTGAATTATCAATTAGCTAATTGATTGTGAGTAGATATGAACTTTGAAGAGTGCACAAACTAGTCCATTGTCCAATTTTTCCTTTATGAAGTAACTATCAAGATATCAATCTGGACTTGTTTACTGCAGTCATGATCCAATGAATTGCGTTATAATGACAGTTGACTTGTTGTCACTGTGGAATTAATTGTACCATCATTTTCAATCTTGAGGTCTTTTAAAATAATTCTTTACCATAATAGTTTACGATTTCCCAAGTAAATCATGAAGGTATTATTAGTTCACAAGACCCCATGGTGAGGGAGGTGAGGGAGGATAGAGTCGAGCGAAGAAGAGAAATAATTACCATCATATATGGCAGGTTTTTCAACTTGTGAAACAATTCGTCGGTATATTACATTTGCCCCTCGAATATGCTTGCTTTGTTTACTATAAAACATCATCAACTTGAGAAAAAGACGCTTAATACCCTCGTATTGTGGTTCATCCATTCTCAATGGCGAATCAGTGGCCAAAGCTAGCGAAAAAGGCTTTGACAAAAACAATTTATCCAACTGCACCTGTTTAAAATAAGTCATTTCATTATCAGTCGCAGGTTAACTAAACTGTCTGTATCGACCAACCACGCAACTTAAGCTCATGAATCCACGTTAAACTCTTTTCAGAATAACATACTTGAAGCAAACTAATATCCTATGTGAAGAAACTACAACCAAATTGTTGGCAAGGAGCTTCAGCCTGCTATGTAGGTTGAACAAATACAAGGACTCGATTGTAATATATAGCCTTTGAAGGAAGGAAGTCGCAAAAACAAGCTAATCATTAAAATTACTTAAACGAGACTAACAACTAAATGAACACATACCTCTTACTCGTACAATTGCACTATTCTCCAACAAGCATAAAAAGAATAAAGATACATGTTTACATAATCAAATGAACAATTACATGAACATATACCTCTTACAACAATTTCTTTCAACCAACAAAACGAACTTAAATTGCACGAAAAACAATTAAATCTTCATCGAACATAAAAACCAATAGTAACCCACAAAATTGATTGACGAAGAAAACATATCAGAACTCTCTCGCGGAGCTTAAAATTAGTGACACAGAAACATACCACATGGCCGCCAAGTATGCCCTTTTCCAGATGACCGATATTGGGTGCAACAGCTGCTGCGACTTTGGCGTAGCATCGATGAGGACAAACACGAAGATCTGTACTAAATTTCAAGTTGCTTTCTGCTCCAAGCCTCCACAGATGGCGGGTGGCTCTGCTCCACTTCGCCAACATTGCTGCTACAGCTACAGCTACAGCTCTTCGGATTCGGGTTCGGAAATTGGGCTAAATATCATTATTTTAAAATCTATGAATTTTAACTTTACCCCTAATTTTATTTTGGAAAAACAATTACGGAAATTATACCAAATGAGCAAAAACGTATTTATAAAAATATCATTATTTTTTTAAATAAAAAATGTGATTTTTGATTGGTAATATAAGTTTGTAATTTATACCATTTTGTTTCGAGAATTGTGAGAACATTTAAGATATAACTTGAAAGAAAATTGGCGCTGAATAGTAAATTTAATTCATAATTTTAGACCTGTCAAAAAAAAAATTCATAATTTTAGAACTTATAACTCCATCCCTAAATTTGGGAACATTACTTATTTCGCACCAAAAGGAGCCTAAAATTTCAAGAAATAAAAACAAAAAATAAAATATTTGGCGGGAAGATCATCTCTTTACTCACAACTTCACAAGCTCCGAAAGGGAATCCTCAAAGCCGCTAATTTCCATTCCAATCCAGAAGGGCAAACAACAATCCCTAACCTTCATCGGAACTCCTCTTGCCGGAATGACCAGAGACGGCGTACAATTTGACGCCGCGAAACGATCCTATCGGAATGCTAAGGCCGAGGGGAACCGGCACGAGGAGGCTAAATGGGCAAACGTAATCGGCAATATCTTGAAGAACAGAGGAGAGTACGTGAAAGCCCTCAAGTGGTTTCGGATTGATTACGATGTGTCGGTCAAGTACTTGCCTCAGAAGCATATGCTGGCAACGTGCCAGTCCCTTGGCGAGGTCTATCTTAGGCTCGAGCACTTCAAAGATGCTCTAATTTATCAGGTAAGGTTTTGGTTGTGGTTCTGTGTACGTGTTGCGGAATGTAGGGAGTTGAAAATTAGATTTGGTTTGAGAATGAATACAATTATAAAATGGGATTATGACGGAAATATGTGTGTTCTTTCGTTGAAAGGATTTCGCAGTGGTCATTCTTTTTCGGTTGTTGCTGTTGATGTGCTGGAGCTGTAACTGGAATGTTTATTCTCTGGGGCACTATGAAAGCGGGAAAGTGGCTGCATTTGCTAATGTGCAATTAAAGTTGTTGGATGTGGATATGATTTTCTTTTATCGCAGGCATTTTTTTTCCCACATAGGATTGAAAGGGACAGTTTAAGATGAAATTCACTGTATTGTTTGGACTATGTAAAAAAGTACACAGAAATAAAATTGAAATTAACTACAATGAATCAATGATATTGTTTGGTTTTTGTTTCCTGCTTAAGAGTTCTCGAACATTTCAAGATTTTTGGTGTTTATTACGGCTTGTCCATATTTAATTGCAGAATAAACATTTAGAGCTAGCAAAACATGCCAATGACTCCCATTTGACTGTTTCATTCATGTTTAACATTTTATTTTCAAGATTTGTATTATTTATTACGGTTTTTTTATATTTAATTGCAGAAGAAACATTTAGAGCTAGCCAAACATGCTAATGACCTCGTGGAACAGCAAAGAGCTAACACTCAACTAGGTCGTACTTACCATGAACTATTTTTGAAATCTGATGATGACCATTTTTCAGTTCGAAATGCCAAAAAGTATTTCAAGGCTGCCATGGAACTTGCAAAGTTTCTCAAAGATCATCCACCAAGAAGTGGATGTTCTTTCCTCAAGGAATATGTTGATGCTCATAATAACTTGGGAATGCTTGAAATGGATCTTGATAACTTGGAAGAGGCCAAAAAGATTTTAACAAAAGGACTAGAGATTTGTGAGGAAGAAGAGGTGGATGAAGATGATGATGGTCGTAGCAGGCTTCACCACAACCTTGGAAGTGTTTACATGGAGCTAAGACTGTGGGATCAAGCCAAGAAGCATGTCGAGAAGGACATTATAATCTGTAAGAACATTGGGCATTGCCAAGGAGAGGCTAAAGGATATATTAACCTGGGTGAATTGCATTACAGGGTTCAAAAGTATGATGAAGCAATTCATTGCTATCGGAAGGCTCTTCATTTAGCTAAATCAATGGAAGACGAGGATGCTTTGGTAAGGCAAATTGATCAGAACATCAATACCGTGAAAGAAGCTATACAAGTGATGGTTGACCTAAGAAAAGAAGAACAGAATCTTAAGAAGCTAATGAGAGAAATGGCCACTGCCAGAGGCACACCTCGTGAGCGCAAATGTCTACTGCAGCAAAATGCTTCTCTTGATTGTTTAATTGAAAAATCAAGTACGATTTTTGCATGGATTCAGGTGAAAACAATACATTTCTTTGATCTTATGTTCTACTAAACTTTTCAGTGAGAAAGTAACTTGTTTGCAGCATCCCAGGTCAATGTGATTTTTTAAAGGAAGTTTCTTTGAAATAAGGGGCGAAATTTCTTTTCTTTTCGAGGTTGCATGCTCATCAAGACATGCACTTTCTACTTGTTATTTTATTTTTGTCCGACTTGCAAAAAGCTATATGCTTAAGTTCGTAAATATTAGTGTGTATTTGATAATTCTTTCAAATAAGGAGTGACATTCACTTTTTTCTATGACTGAGAGTCGGAGCTTTGCTCCCCTATACCCAGGGGCATCCGTGCCCGTCCCAAGGCCCGGACTTAGGAGACATCAAAGGTTTTTGGTATTAAGTTCACCAAAAGGTTCGAACTTGAAACCTCTAAGCCAATATAACCAAGAGACCCGAAGCCTTTGCCAACTGGCCTTATAATTTTTTTTTAATATTTCTATATGAGTTTTACTTGCATGTTATTTGAAGAATTTAGGAGGGGTCTTGTGCATATGAGTTTAGGTTGGCATTATATACTACAGTTATGCATTATAAAGATTTTCCTTTTCGATATCATTGTTGTTTATTAATACTTTTACGGTATTTTAGCACCTTGAATTTGCGAAAAGGAAGAAAAGAGTAGCAAGTGAGCTTTGTGACAAGGAGAAGCTGAGTGATTCTTATCTGGCTATTGGTGAATCATATCAAAAACTAAGAATATTCACAAAATCCATTAAATGGTATGTGAAGAGCTGGGAAGCATACAAGTCTATTGGTAATTTAGAGGTAATCTCGGTTTCTTAAGTTTAATATGTAATATTTGTGTAGCTTTTTTCCTTTCTAAATAATTGCTGTTAAAATTTAACTCCTCCCTCAAGATATTTTGTGAGATAACTGTGAACATGAATTTTATATATACTTTATAGTTTATATATATACACACGCTTGAAATAAAGTGTTTTAACCAATGTCAGGGATTCTTTGAGTTGAAATTTTTCATACGTGGTGATGGCGCTACTCTGGTTTGTTGCTATGCTCTTACTATTACTTAATATTGATTTCAGGGACAAGCACTAGCAAAGATTAATATTGGTGATGTTTTCGACTGTGATGGCAAGTGGACAGAAGCACTAGATGCATTTGAGGAGAGTTACAGGTATTTAATTTCAGTCTTCAGGATTTCCTGGCTTTTCATATCATTCTACATGGGAGAGCATGTGGCAGATGAAGGCACGCTCCCCCGATAGAGCTTTGCTCTGTTCAACCATAACATGATCTAAAATGTGAAATTAATTTTCGTAAAACTTACCGTGAGTCTGTGACTGAAGTGCAGTTTTTGAGCTTAAAATACTAAAAAATAAGAAGTTGATGCAATCCTTTTTAGTAGTTCTTCCAATTGAAGAGCAATAGTTTCCCTGAATTTAAGGCCTGTGCTTTTGTGGAAGCGCATAAACTCCAATTAATCAATTCATAAATGATGCATCCCAATACCTTAATTGCTTTTGCGTCTTGTTTTACTTCTGAAGTCATAAAATTAATAAGAGTTTGTGTTAGGCTATTCTGTAAAGTTACACTCCCGATAATTATAGTCGATCAATATACTTAAAAGAAATGTCCTGAACTTCTGTAGATGTTTTATGCTTTTATTTTTCTTCATATATATATATTTTTTTATCCTTAACGGTGTTTTAATTTAAAAATTTATGTGGTGGTCAACGCTTTTGCGTTTCAATAACTTGTAAATTTCCTTAACAATACTTCTTTGAGTAATCTGAAATAAGATTGGTTTGCTTCATTATTCATTACTATTAAATTTGCACTTCCATCAAAAGATGGAGAGAGCAAAAATTACTTTTCCCACATTTAATGATTCAAGCACTTTGATGAATACTGAGGGCACATCTTTTGATGCTTATTTGGTTTCCTATATTGTAGGATATCTGTTGAGGCTAACCTTCCTTCGGTCCAGCTTTCAGCACTGGAGAATATGCATTATAGTCACATGATACGATTTGATAATGTAGAAGAAGCTAGGTAACTACTAATACGTGAAGTGACTGCACGATCATTTTAAATTTTTAGGGACTTTTATCTTGTGATTAGAAAAGAGTTTTGGATGTTAAAGAGCTCAATCATTTCTTTTAAAGTCACGATGACTTGTTCAGCTCATTAGCGTTACGACCACAGATAAAATAAATAGTTCTTTAAAGAATTCTATTTTTCAGGCGGCTACAATCTCAAATTGACCAATTGAAGGAGACGAGGAAAAGTGATAATGAAACAAAATATGTGGCAGAGGATTGCTGCTCTGAAACAGATACAGAAGCAAACGAAGCTCTGTCAGACAGTGCATCTGATGATTGCTGCTTGTCAGACACTAGAAAATCTTGTAACAGCAGATTAAATTCTTCAAAACATTTAGCTGATTTAGAAGAGCCAAATAATGCAGTTACTCTGACTTCACCCCTCAAGCGGCTTGAAAAATCACCTAAAATCAAATCAGTTGACATGAATGAATTCGATGCATCTCCTTCTGAAATTTCACCTAAAAGTTTGTCTAAATCGGCTGGTAGCCAACAAACCACCATTGGTCGTAAACGTGTTCGTGTGATACTTTCTGATGATGAAGGTGAGAACGAGACGATGGATTTCTCAAAATCGAGGCCTCATTTTTGGCAGGGAGAGGATTCTGCAACTTCTGATGACAGTTAGTTTTTACTCCTTGACTTGTTTGAGCTGTAGACTTTCACAACCATTGACTGACTGTTGGCTGTGTTGCTTGATTTCAGATAAGAATAGACAACACTCAAGAAATCCTGATACTGAAATTAAGGTATATCTTGTATCAGTTCTTGGAGAATTATCATGCTTGCGTTCCAATAATTTTTCATGTTTAATATTTGGTTTGGTAGGAGGGTTCAGCAATTGCCGGCAAACATGGAAGCAGGTCTTGCGAAGACATTGAAGAAAGCACTGGTTCATATAAACACAAGAGTCGAATTACTGCTACTCAAAATGATAAAGATTTTGGAACCAGAAATGCAGATGAAATATTTCCTTCTGATTCTGCTGCCAGTGGCTCCAAATTTGAAGTTGACATCTCTGAAAATCTGTTGCATAAATATAATGTTTCCAAGTCAAATTCTTTTGAACATGGTGTAAGTGTTCTTTGAAATGCTAGCTTGAGATATTTCTCGTGTCAATGGCTTACACTCATGCCACAACTGTTTAATTATTGGTTACTGTTGTCATAAGCTTCTGATCTTAGTTATTTTCTAATTGCAGCACTGTGTTACATTCAAAATTGATAATGAGCTGATACCCGTAGGGGTTGCCTTATTTGGAGATAAGCGGAGCATTGAATCTACAAAGGAAGAACTAGCATGCATGTACTATCTGCAACTTCCCTTTGAAAAGAGATCTGAGGGTATTTAATAGATGCCTATATTTTTTCTGCTCAATTACTTTAAATAATTATGGGTACATAAGATTATGACCTCGCTAAAAGTATGATAATTAGGGGGCTAAATAATATTCATCTACGAAATCATGTCTTGTAACATGTTTGGGTGCTTTTAGTGTAGACACTAATTTGAGACTCCTCCAAGTGGCTCTAGGTTGGTTTCAAATCTTTTACTGCTAGTTTTTTCTTGATTATCTCTTTGGGTGGAATGTCACAAGCGCCTAGCTTGGGATGGGCCAATCAAAATGAGTTTTAGGTAGGCTTGGCTTAGGGCCTTAGGCATTGTTTTCCTTGAGAATGTCTCATTCTAAGGGAAGGAAAATGGGAGGGGGAGAAGCAAGTGAGGAATAGGTCTTGGAGTGGGTTAGAGAGTTGAGAAATCTAGAGTGGTCTATTAATTACTGCAAGCGTGCCGTAGATGAAGTTTAGGATATGTTCTTTATTTGATGATGGCCATTTCTAGAATGTTGAAGGATCAGGGGTTTGGATAAAAGGAGGATGGTTAGTGATTTGTTAATTCAGACATTTTTATTCTTCATGAAACTAAACACCAAAATGTCCTTATTGGTTTGATTTAAACAATACATGGTATCAAATCAGGAGTGTTAACTTAGAAGCCCTAGGTTCCTCTTCGGGTATTATTACTCTATCTACGAAGTTACCTCAATTCTTTTTCTTCCATTCTTAAGAAAAATTGAGATGTATTCAGAAAAGGAACTAAGTGCAGTCTCAGGGATGAGGGGATCCCCACCCAAAAACTGCAGAAAGAGGCAAGGGAGGAACCTACAAAAGCAATGTAGCAAAAATTCCTAGACTAGTGATGGTATAGAATCTTTGGCCAGTCTTTTTAGGCGTTGTTCTGGTTGTAGGCCGATGAAGCATTTGATCTTCCTATTTGGGAAATCCAAAGATCCTATATTTTTTAACTTTCTGGTAGAAAAGAGGATAAAAGAATTGCTGAAGTAGAATGAAGCTTCTAAGGGGTTATTTTGACTCTTATCTTATTATTATCACTAATACCTTTGTCTATTATATGCCCCTCTTCAAGGTTTCCTCCATTTCTTCAGAGCATTTTATTTGATAAAAGAACCAACTCTTTAGGAGAAAAATGAAAGAATACACTAGGACAATACAAAAAATGATAGCCTTGAACAAAAGGAGCAAATTAAACAAAAGGCTAACTAACCACACAATTACTAGAAAGGATTCCAATTCAAAAGAATGAGAGATAAAAGGAGGATCAAAGGTAATCAAAGCTCAAACCTTTCCCATGAATTCTCTACATCTCTAAAGACCCTGCTATTTCTTTCTAGCCAAATATCTTACAAACCACAAAGAAAGTAGTACATCAAAGGGAAACCCTCTATCTCGTAAAGGTGGATGGTTATAGGACCTCCTCCCTTGATCATAGCCCTACATGATTTGGAGGTTGGTCTGTAGAAACATCTCATGGAAGTTTATTTGAGCTTCCAGTGGAGATACATCAATGAAGGTCAAAGTAACATATTCAGTTTTGTTTCCAACTGTCTCCTTTTCAAATATTTGATTTTCATTGATATGTGTGATTCCTTTTCCTAATATTTCGCTCAAACATGCCTTATTAGGTCTGTTGCCTGTGATTCAACATATAAGTTGTGATGGGAGAATTCTGGAGTCACTAGAATTTTTAAAAACGTCTGACCATGAAAGAAATCTTTTGGTTGAAGCTGTCATCAATGGTATGTTTCGTTAGAACTTTAGTTTCATGATTTCATTTTTTTGGTATATGATAATATTATGGTGTGCATGGTGCGTCAGTCTTATCATATTGTCCATCAATATGCCATGATGTCACATCGTGGATGCCAGGAATGAATGATTCTTGTCCTTGTTTCATCAATAGTGATCATGTTGAAATTTTGGAGTTTTCCAGTGGTGTACGTAAGAAACTAGGTTTCTATCTTGGGTTTTAGTTGCGTCAAATGTCAATGTTAGACCGATTGATTGAAATAAAAACAATATCACCTGTTTGGGTATTTTTCTGAGCTGTTTGTCAATCATTTGAGTAATCATAGACTATAGTTCTGTGTATCCCACGATCACTTCCAAGAGAAGCATTATCAATCTGAAAGTTTGCCAAATATAGAATAAGTGCTGTCATTACTTTCTTGATTCTCCAATTTTACCAGGCGTTTAATTCTGAATGTCTACTAAATAATAATAATAATAATAATAACAACAATAATAATTTGGCTTCTTATCATTGTTGTTGTTTTTGTTCAGGAGGGTTATTTGCTTATAGAGCCAAATTAATGAAAAACGTCATTTTATTCCTTGACAGGATGGGTTTCAAAACCTTTGATAAAACTTTATATTGAGTACTGCAAAGAGTTATCTGAGACACCTAACATGAAGTTGCTGAAGAAACTGTACAATCTGGAGGTATGTCATACGTGCTTGGTTGATCTAATTCTACCCTTATTCAATTGGACAAACTCTTGCAAGAACTTATTGCGATGCCGGTCTTCACGTTGGATTAGAATGATTTGATTGTAATTTATTTTTTTGTATTCTAGGCTTCAGATGACGAGATTGCAGTGTCTGATTGTGATCTGCAAGACTTATCTATAAGCCCATTGTTGAATGCACTGAACATCCAGAAAGCTTTTGCCATCTTAGACCTTTCTCACAATTTGTTAGGTAAGTTTATTTACTTTTTTTATGGTTGAAAGTAGTGTTCCTTGAGTATTGGTAACTTTTTGTCTTAAAATGAAATGGTTGTTTCTGGAGTATTAGAGATTGTTTCACATACTTCGAAGAAGTTAAAGCTTTCTTCCATTTTTTTAAAATTATAAGATATAAGGGGTCTGTTCGATTCATATAATTATTACTTTGATGCATACGAAGCAACTCTGATGGAATATTTGAAATCTCTGAGAATAAAGTATTTCACATGAAAACTTGATAAATGATCTATACAAAATCTGAACTAAACAGGACACGCAAACTATATTTAGTAGTATTAGGTGTAGTAGTACTGTTCGAATTCCTATAACTGCTGCAGGAAATGGAACGATGGAGAAAGTTCAGCAGGTCTTCAAGGAGTCGAGCCAAACACATGACTTAACTTTAGATTTACACTGCAATCGATTTGGTCCAACTGCTTTATTCCAGGTTTCAAATATCCCTCTAGACATCTAAATTTGTTTTCTTTGACTATTCATGCAAGACGTTTACATCTTGGAGGATTACTGAACTCTTTGTTGCTTTTAAACTCAAGGGCGAGTGTGTTTCCAGAAATGGATGTAGTGAATGAGTAATTATTGATTTTAGTGTAATTGTTTTGATTTTTTTGTTTGTTGTTAATTCTTTTATAAATAGGGGCTTTAGGGTTTTGTATTAGATATGACTTGAAAAAAACAAAAAAAATTAATTGTGAATAAAAATTCCCTTCCCGAGTTCTTTGAGAAAGCTTAGGCTTCGTCATGTTCTTTTGCTATTATTTGGAGTATTCAATTATAAAAAAACAATAGTTTTTGTGGTTGTAGAAGGCCTTGAAAGGAGGTTTGGAGTGTGGTTCACTTCAATGCCTCCTTTTGTGCTTTTGGTTTTAAGTGTTCCTTGGGCATCTCTTTGGTGTTGATTCTCAAATTCTCTCTGTATCTTCCTCGTTTGCCTTGGCCTGTGTTTTGTATAGCTCTTTGCTAATTTTATCATTCTTCTGAATGAAAGTGGTTTTCTATTAAAATAAAGAAATAATAAATTGTCGTTTTTTACTAATGCCTCAAATATTCAGATTTGTGAATGCCCTATTCTGTTCACTCGATTGGAAGTGCTTAATATATCTGGAAATCGTCTTACCGATGCCTGCGGATCGTACCTCTCAACCATCTTAAAGAATTGCAAAGGTAATGCATTGCAGATTTAGAAGGGATTTTATGATTAATTAGTGATATTTTAGCCATCTATGAAATATGGGTGGTGTGTCTCAACGGATTTCTTTATTCTGTTTCTCTCTTAGTATTTCAAGATATTGGATGCATCTTGATTCCAGGATATTGAACTTGAGTTTTAACACTATGCACTGAGGTTACACTTAAAAGTCAATATCCTCATTCTTTGATTTGACTTTCAGATATAGCTTGATTCTTTTTTATGGGTTTCTTTTTATTTTCCTAGGTCTTTGGAGTTTAAACATTGAACGATGTTCTATCACATCTAGAACAATCCAGAAGGTTGCTAATGCATTAGAAGTTGGAGCTGGCCTCGAAAAGCTTTATATAGGTTACCTTTTCTTTGCATGAATCAAACAAACATTTACAACCCTGATATATTCCTCTATGTATTTAGTGACTAACATTTTCCTGACATTCTTTGGTAGGATACAACAACTCGATCTCTGGGAATGCCCTCAGTAGTTTATTAGTTAAGCTCGCATCACTGAATAGGTTGGATGAACAGAATTATAACTCTTCTTTTCTTTGCAACTTTAAAAGTTAAAAACTTGTAGAAAAAATTTAAACGAAGGAGTTGCTCTTTTTGTAGGTTTACAACTCTTAGTTTAAGTGGTTTGAAGTTGAGCAAGCCAGTTATTGAAGGCCTTTTCCAGCTTGTTAAAGTGTCGGGGTTGTCTGGATTAATGCTTTCTGGCACTGGTATTGGAGATGTGGGTAAATTCTATGACGCATTTCTTTACTCTTTTCTCTTTTTGTTATTGACCATTCTGAATTCTGTGCATTAGCAAGCATTATTCTTCCATTTGATAATGAGGCCTTTTTAAACTCCGCAGGATGCTGCATTAGGGATAACTGAGTCATTTAACGGGAATGAAGAGTTTGTGAAACTTGACTTAGCTTATTGTGGACTGACATCTAATTGCCTTACTAAGTTTGGTGGTTGTACTTCTCTTATTCAGCGCATTCATGAGCTGAACTTTGCTGGGAATGCCATCATGCAAGAGGTTTGTTAAAAACACCTAATTCCTTACTAATACTTGCCATGGTCGTTTAGCGGTTTTCTTAAAACAATACATGTTATTCTTAAACTTTTATGTCAATTTTTTTGTTAACTAGGTCATTCTAACTTCTTATCTTGCTATTTTTATGGATTCTCCATGGATTACATTTTTACCATCATACACGAAAGGGAGGTCCGAATAGTTTCGTTAGGGAAATGTGCTTGATATGTAGGAAGTGAGGTGTGACTAGCAGTTTGGAAGTGGCTTGTAGGAGAGATAATTCCCTTGAATAGGTTATCAACTCTCGACTTGAGAGTGAGTTTGTACTGATATTACATAAGTAATATAGTTCGTTTAGGTTGTGTTCTTAATTTGATACGTATCAGACATTTTAGATCTGCTAAGAGGGAACCTATCTTCTGAATAATGAAGCAAATATGATTAATAGGTCAATTAACTGACTTCATTTTGATTATATTTTGTTTACCGTGACATTGTTACGTTTGAAATTCTATCCTGACTGATGTATTCAGCAGTCAAAGTTCTGACTATTCAGCGTGGACAGGGTTGTAATGCAGTATCATCCCTAATAGCTAACCCCCAATGTGGCGTTAAAGTTTTGGTTCTTAACAAGTGCCAGCTTGGCATAGCTGGAGTTGTTCAAATCATTCAGGCCGTAGCAGGTTGTAACATCAAAGCAGACTTTTTATACAAGGCCTAAAATGGACAAGTTTTTGTTACTAACATTCCTTTCTGCAGCAGGTAACCACTGTCTTGAAGAGCTCAATCTCGCCGATAATGTTGATCTCGATAAACATGCCCCGCAATTTAACATAACAGAGAAAGAAAGTAAAGAAATTATACAACTGTGCCGTTACATATCTAAACCTCATGGCCTAACATGTCCAATCAAGGAGTTGGACTCTGCTCAACAGAATCTGGAGGAGGTAAATACTGAATCCAATCAGCTTGAAGTTGCTGATAGTGAAGAACCAATTAGAGAAGGTGCCGCAGCATCCGGGGTTGATGATAGTTGTGCAAGTTCATGTCAAAGGAAATCTGCATCTCTTGATTGTCAGTTTCTTTTAGAACTTTCAACTGCCATTGGGATGGCAAAGACATTGCAATTACTGGATCTTAGCAATAATGGCTTTTCCCCCCAAGAGACTGAAACATTGTTTGGTGCATGGTCAACTTCAAGAACTGGTTCGGCACAAAGGCACATTCAGGACAACATAGTACATCTACTTGTAGAGGGGACGAAGTGTTGTGTGCGACCCTGCTGCAAGAAGGATTAATGTAATGCTGCTGAGATCTATTATATCAGAGGATAGAAGAGGTCAGTGCTCTACTTTCGACACAAATTATTTGCTCGTGTATACTGTTTAACATGTGTATTATAGGTGAAATCTGTATATAATTACGGTTCATAAGCACGATAAAATTTTATTCAACTTTTCTTATTTTCTATCGTACTTTAAGTTTCTTAATGTAATACTACTTTCTTCATTGTTATGATATTATATAAGAATTATTTGGAGTCTAGAAACACTAATATAACATTTACGAAGGAGAGTTCATGACATGAACAAAGGAAATAGGGGCTGTTGCAGGCACACTAGACATTTTCCCACCGCTGCCTGCATTGCAACATTTAAACCCTAGGGAAGTAACGTCCAGATATGTTATTCCAATTGATGAATACAGCATGGCCCAAAGGGGTTATTCGGTCGGTAAGGACTTGAAGTCTTTTGGTCATATTAGCTTAAAGGTTTCAAGTTCGAATCCTTTGGTGAGTTTAATATCAAAATTCTTGATGTCTACTAGGTCTGGGACTTGGGGCGGGTGCAGATGCTCCTGGTAGAGAGGATCAATGAAACTCTAACTCCTAGTTATAGAAAAACTCTATCTCCTATGTTTCCTTTTATTACTCTCGAGTTTCTTGCATTTTTTATGAAGGTCAGCAGCAATTTGCTGGTATGATCAGAACTCCAAATAATCCATCTTGTTAATCTCAGAAATCTCTTTTTTTTTTTATTTTAATCAATGATAGTGTAATATCCATTAAAAAGAAAAATAAAAATTTTATGGGTTTAGGGTGTAATAAAATAATAATGGGAAAGGGGGAGAGTTGTTGGCCTGCTTCTCAACAAATAGCAGTGGAATTCCTTTTCCTCCTTTCATTCAATTGCTGTCCCTTCTTCAGGAACCTCCTGCCCTAAACTTTTGCTTACTTTTCCCATTTTTAAATAATTTTTTCTTTATCTTTTAGTTTCGTGTGGTAAATCATTCTTCCCTCCACATTCCTTAGCACGTGTAATCAATATCACTTAATTTTAGATTTTCTTTCTTTTTCTTTTTAAATTACGTACGTATAAAATTAATTGCATCTTCGAAGGCTTATGTATTTTTTGGTGTCACATTATACATTTCATATCTATTTGTATCAATATTTTTAAGAGTTTCAATTTCATCCTTTATTATAAATGATGTAAAACATTGTAACAAAATTTGATATGGACTAATAATATAGCATTGATATCATGCATCAACAAATTTCCACTCTCCATAGAGAATGTGAATCCATTTTGTCCAAAGTAATGAAAATATCCCTTGCTTGATACTATCCAATGAAAGAAGATACTAATTTGATTCATTTTGTTTGATTGTTTTAGCCACTAGCTTAATATGGAAGGAAAATGATATATATGTTGCATCATGATGGGTTCAAAATTGACTTTCGTTCCAATAATTACATTTGTATATTGTAGAACTATATCTAGTATGGAAGTTCATACGAATCACACGAGATGATGATAATACGTAGAATGATTAAATATAACAAAAAGAAATCAAAGTAATCAAGAATAAGGCACAATTGAGTAACTTTAGCTGCATATAATTCTAATCGATTAACTTTGTAGTGTTATACAATGATTAGTAAAAATAGTTTTGGCTGTACCAAAATCACTCCCAAATACTTAAATATTTTCTTTTTGTGTTATTCACAACTTTTATTAATCATTCCAAAGAAAAAAAAAAGGTTTGAGAACTTTCTGTTACTGTTAAAGCAATGAGCACAATTTTTCTTTTTTGAGTAAAAGCTGATAAATTTGGTATGTACAGTAATGAATACTAATTAACTAGATTTTGGTGGCCATGATTATCCTCCTTTATACATATTTCTATGCACCAAAATGAATGGGAATTCATTATTTGATTATTCCAAAGATCTTGTTGTCTTCAATTAACTCCCACCATCAAAATTAAAAGATTCAACCCATAATAACTCACCTTGATTCTTTCATCACATGCTTCTAATTCTATGTTGACATTTAGTTAATTAACTTGGTACTTTCTTGTATTGATGAAATTAAGAACTTTAATTTCTTGTATTGATGGAGAAGCCACCTTTTACATTTTAGTTTTGTAAACTTACATTACTTTTTTCTTTCTTTTCTTTTTTTGAAAACTACATTACTTTTTGATCTTATACTTATTATAATACATTGGAAATGTCAACGGAGGATAGATTAAAGTTAAAATGATGCATTTTCTCCTTTGTTCTATCTTAAAAATCTAATTTTGACAAGGAATAAGTTGTCGTGGAGAACCATTCTCTAATTTAATTAGAAATTACAATGGTACGGTGTATACTCAAGTTTCAAATCAGCAAATATTATATTATATATGGAGATATGAAGAGACGTATTATCTTAATGAGTAGTATAAAAGTTGTCAGTTACGTGAGTCTATCTCAACTGGTTAAGATATATATCTTCAACAAAAAAATCGTGTGTTTGAACTCCTATCACCCACATGTTGTATTAAAAAAAATATAAATACAAATTAAACAAAAATCGAAAATGTTACCAAACGGGCCCTAAAACATCTCTCCTTGTCAACTTCTATAAAAGATAGAACCGAAGTTAGGTTCCCAACGGTTTATATTGGTTTGCTCTAGAACTATACTATAAATTAAAAAATGTACCGTCTTGACCATGTTGAATTATGCTTAAATCGACACCTAATTACCTTTACAAAAGGGAGAGGGAGAGGGAGAGGGAGAGCAGTGCAAACCTCTCATGCACCACAACTTCAATACTTAAAAAAAAGGCATAAAGTTAAAGTAATAATGCATTAATCCTTTTGTTGATACAACTTAGAATATGATTATCTTGTTAAAACCTTTCTTAATCAGCAATAATTTAGCTTTGGATTGATGGATATATGTAGACAAGCACGCTTAAGAAGTTTGACAAAAGAAAAAGTGGAGAGAAGAAATGGAAGCAATTAATTATCTTCCCCTTTTGTAAAAGGTAATTTCCTTTAAATCATTACATTAAATTTACCATCTGTATTTCAAAATCTTTAATTTGTTCTATTATTGTACCACACATATACACATTAAATAAATAGACATAAAAATAATTCCACTCTCATTTGACCTTTCTTTTTCCCCATAAATTTCAACATGCGCACGAAAGTTCAGAAAATTATAGCAATAATTCCTTCCCTTTCCTCCTTGAGAAAGCATACTATATATTTATGGAGCCATACATGATTCACATTTTATTAAAACTTGATTCAAGTAAGTATTATTATTAACATGTGACATGTTTTTTAATGATGAGTTTTAAGTATTTGTAATTATTTTTCAGAGTATTGTGAGCTCACTAATTCATTTTATAGTAAAGTAGCATAAAATATCAATTAAACTAACCATTCCACAAAATTGATATTACATATGTAAACTATTTTCGACTACTATAGAAAAATATCTTTTTCAAGCCAAAATACGGATGATTATTGCCAAATGTTGTAAATTCTTAAATAGTTTTGAAATACTAGCATTACTTACCATAGATATAACTACGATTGTTAGTAGTAAAAAATAGTATTATATGACGGGGTAGAACTAAAATCTATCATTTTATTTTAATTTGTCTTTTACATAAATCTTTCAAGACATGGAACCCCCGATAGCCAAATACAAGAGATTCAAATGAAAAGCCTCAAGTAAAACGTGCCTTCAACTTAGCCTCCAAATTTTTTGTTAGCGAACCTCTCTTGCTATATAATACATACAATAATATCACATCCGCTGGATATACACTATCATAAGTAGGAGGAGGATCGATTCTTGCAAGTTGTCGATATATATAAAAGGAAGCTTTTCAATTGATTATGGTTTGTCATCTCATACTATTAATGTGGATCAACACAAAATTTAAAATCTTATCAAAAAAATGTTAGAGATAATTGATGAAAAGAGCCTAAGTTTGGAGTTGTGTTAATCTTAGCCAAAAAAATAGAAGGAAAGTTACACGATAAAGGGTTTATGTAAAGTTGAATTTCTTTTCGTGGATGCCTTATCTTCGAGAGGAAAACATGTGTATCCCCTCCCTAAAGTATATGTGATGGAGATCCTAAATAAATGCAAAATCTTTTTGCTCAATTTTAGCCTCTAAAAAACGACTAATAATAATGGACTATCAAAACATGGCCAAAGTAAAGCCTTTTCTTGGCATTCCATTTTAGTTCCATTTGTTTGATTGATAATAAATATTGATACCATTGAGGTAAGAATTTAGTTGAAAGAGTAAATATCCTTTATTGTTGAGTTATGTTCATACTGATTATTGATTGGTTGACAATGAAGTTCTCTATTTATATTTTTTTTATGTGACAATTATTTTTCTTTTATTTGGCAAGGATGTGACATCAAAATATTATAAAAAATAAATTCAAAACTATTTAATCATTTAAGTACATGACTTTTATAATTAATTCTACTTCTTTAACATATATTATCAAAAACACAAGGATATTCTATAAGAAAAGAAAATTCAATGTGGGGTCTATCTGTTATAATATAAACTTCAATGATATTTTAATTAATCAACATTATTTAATAACATGGTCTTAAAAGATAGTCAAAAAGGAGATGAAATTAAATTCTTTGTATTTGGTAGCTCAAAAAAAGTATTAAAATTTGATATCCTCTTACTTTATGTGTAATATATACTTCCTTTAGCCATGAAACATGGGGGTGGGGAACCATTGTCCCTCTTTGAGTACAAGCTCAGTCAAACAATTCATTAATAATTTTTATAGTAAAATGTATTTTTTGAATTAAATAAAAAAACAATATTCAATATCTGGCTCATGAATTTATAATAATTAAAATGAAGATAGGGGATATGATATTGACTAAAACCAAATAAACTTTAAATCTAAAATTGTGGATTAAAACGTCTACATTTTTAGCCATGTGACCACCCCTGATTTTCAAATTACTATGCTCTCTGACAGATATGTATATAATTTCTATTGAACAATTTAATGCTTTCATTTGACTAAAACTTTAATGAAATTTTGATTATTTATTCAGCAAACACCCAAAATTGGAAATTATACATATACATATTTTTATCATCTAAATCATCTAAACACCAAGGCTTAAATCATTATACATATTTTTATTGTATATTAAGATAAAAAAATTGTA